ATGAACAATGTTCTGAAAAAAAGTAATTGCAGATTGTTTTTTAAGAAATGATTGGTTCTAATTCCAGTACTTAATTCCTTCCTTACCGCTCAATTAGATTGTACCTTCCTGTATTCTTGTCTGCTGGACATAATGAAATTGAAAACTTGAATAGCAGAATGCCGTTTTCAATACGAAAAAACCTTGCCTCTTATTGTTCGATCTAACGTAAAATATGGATTATCGGTGTACAATAAATAGGGATTGTATCTATTCCAAGAGATAGATATTATAAATCAAGTACAAAACAGACATTGATTGATTCATTGAATTTTAAAAATAAAATGCTCATAGAAATAGTAAGATCGGAATTTCGTTCCCATAGTCACTGCCAATAGATCAAGGGATTACGATCAGTAGATCTCACCAGATAATAAATAAGGATGTCAAAGGAAATTTTATCGATGTAGCAGCCTTAAGAGAAGGATATAAAGGATATAAAGAGAAAATTTCAAACAAAAATTGCAACAATAAAATAAAAATTCTGCAAGAATTAATGTGGAATAGAATAAAAGTAAATAGAAAGAAACGTACGAAGGAACTGTTGAAAATATTTCAAAAAAGACTGAAAATCATAAAAGAGTAGGAAGAAGTACCATGAAAAAAGATTGTAACGATAAAAAGGAAGTATGCACATAGTAAAGAGATATAGGGAAAGGAAATTTCAAAGGCGATATAACAAATATTAGAACAAATATATTAGCAAGAGAAAGTAATGGGTCGCGAATGAGATTTGCACTTCGTACAAAAGCCTCGTCGTTTTCTTCATTACTTTATAATATATATACTTCGACGCGTGTTGCAATTTTCTTCATCTCTTTACGATGGAATATCAACTTTGACGCACGACCGATTTCCCTATCTCGTTATATATCATAGAAGTTGCTATAACCCTTCAGGCCATCAAGATTAGACCGACTTCCGACGGTCAAAGATCTGAAATTATATCAAGCTACTTAGGCCATCAGACCGCATTAGCATACGTACGCATAGAATCCAGTTCTAATAGGTATGTTGACTTCGCGCAAGCACTACCGGTGGTTCATAAATTTCAGGTCACAGTCTTTATCGTCTCACTTTCTATATTCACGTCCCGTATCCTTTCCCTTTTTTTTCCCTCCCCCCTTTCTTTCAAGCACGTTTCTTTTATTTCGTAGAAATTCTGGCAAGTAAATATTTGATTATCAAACGGATTCTCCTCCTCCGTTGTTTAATATTTTGTTCTTTCAATTGACGAAAGATTGAAATATCTAATTAATTTACCAGAATTTTTACAAGGCGACGAAATATACTTTGTGCAACTTCAACAAGGATTTCTTTCAAAAAAAAAAAAAAAAAAAGTTGGATTTGTGTTACGGTAACAAAATACGCTGTCGATTGTCATTGTAAAATATAACCTAAGTATCGGTTATCGTTCCCATTCCTTCGTCCTTCGATAGTCGTCTCTGTTGGCAGTTAATTCTATTTAATACCGTAAAGAAGGTCTGACTATGGCTTTCTTTGATTAATGACTGTGTCCACGTGTCGAACCAATGTCAAAAAGGAGCGCACTTGAACTCGATCGAATTAACGGTGACGATTGACTTAATTAGTGTACGCCAATTGCACGATCCAATTATTATACAATGTCTCGGGTAATTGCTATCAATATGCCATCGCATCGGTTTAGTGTCTTAGTAATTCTTTAATCTCATACTTCTACTACGCTTGCTTTATACAAAAAAAATTTCTAAACTTGACAATGCTCTGCCCAAGCTCGACCTGCCTGCTTTCAGAAAGATAAGAAGTTTCCAAGGTAAAAATCCATAGATTATCTATAATAATGAATAAATATTTCTAAACATCGCGAGCCAAGAACTTCTTCACGATGATTATTTATTACATTTGAAAATTTATTATTAGGTTTCAAATTCCTGTCGATTCTCTTTGCCCACGTTAAGGGCTGAAGTTCTTCAGCCTTTCTCTTGCGAAACTGACGACGTCGCCGGGGAAAACAACCGAAAGCATAAGAATATGCACGGACGGCGGTCTAATTGTTGGTCTTTCAAGATCAGGAAGAAGGCCATTACGTGAAATTGTTATAAGCAGCATGATTACCCAGTGCAATCTTAGCAAGACGAATAAAGACGCAACGAAACATTATAATGTCCGGCGCATTAGCGGTCATAATTAAATTATGACAAGGACGCTCGCCTTGAATTCCCTGTTGCAATACGAATCCGTGATGCGCTAATAATCCGTAATTGACGGATGGAACCGTATTGTCGTTCGAGATTAGCATCGTGACCATTCGGAGAAAATGGGGACACTAAGTTTGCTTTATTGTCCCGATGAAAAAAATTCTAATTGGCGAAAAGGATAATCGCGGCGAATTTAATATTGTTTAGTTAAACCGAGTTACATTTTTAATTGCATTAACGAGACAGGCAACTGTGCAGCTGGAGAGTTCATTCGAGAATTCATTCGATGTATGATAAGAGATTACTTAAGGAAAAATTTAAGAAAAGAATCTTCATTATCGGCCGAAGTACTTGTTGAAAAAGTAAGTACGGTTGAGGCTTGACCAACCGTAAAATACAATTTGACGATGGAGAAATTTTCTCGCAGAAATGTATACGCTCACAATTAACATATACGGATGAAAAATAGATTTAATACTGGAAGATTAGACTAGACTTCAAAAAAACATCGAAAATAATGTACTTCGTTATTATAAAAATATAAAGTTGCACAAATATTCACCGTTAATACGAACAGAAAATTCTCACGAGCATGCGTGAATGATGTTTATTATTGCGGGTACACGAAATAGATTGACAGAGGAACTTCTTCTTTGTTGGATTTTAAGATTCCGATTTAGAAGGGAAGTAAAAGTCGAATGAAAATCCTACAAAAATAGAGGCACATCGGTTACGACGTTACAAGGCTAGTATCGTCAAAGAACAGAATCATTAATCACACTTTCACTAGCGCTGCTGCGCGAGTGCAGCTATCGCAATTTCCATGTTACGTGCGTATCTCCGTTCATCGCGTGGAAACACACCGGCACCGATTACATTCATTTACTCGCTGATCGATAATTACAACTCATTGCACCGATCTCCATTCCGTTCTACCTCGAAAGAAAAAAGAAATGAAAATCCCGGTTTCACCTGTCTCCGATGGCCGAAATGTTGCAATTGCCTTGGGAAACTTTTGTCGGTTATCGCAACAGAATTAGCGAGATTAACGAAAGTTACGCGAAACTTTCCCACTTTCATTCGCCTGTCGATGCGAGAAGGGGATAGACGCGAGATTTCTGAATTTCTCAAAGTAGACGCGTGAAACTTCTTCGATATGGGCATCGTGAAAGTTGAGGACGGACGTTTGGAGAATTGTCTATTCGATGAGACGAACGGATGAAAATGTCTCGTATTGGCCCGATATCTATTAGATTGATTTATTAGATTGATTTGTGATGAAAATCTACTTGAAAGTTGCAAATGTTGCAGTAAATAAATATAGCAGATTGTGAATCTTCATAAACTTGATTTTAGATCGAATTTTCGGTGATTTCTTTACAATTTCGCATTTTCGCATCGTCGAAGTTCGTTAAATCTTTTCTCTGTAAAAAGTAATTTTTACCCTCGTTAGATTAGTCAACCTGCTGGGATGAATCTTTCTGTAAAGAAATTCTGTTGAAAATGTAGTAATGGTAATTTTTATTCTCCTCGTATGGCAAATCGAGAATGTATGTAATTAAACGATCCAGTTCTGAGCACTGTGGTGTAAAGGTACACGAGTTACATGATAGAGAAATCGAATGCCACAAGTTTCAGGAAGAAAAAAAAAAAGAAGAAAAAGGAAAACGTAATTATCGACGTGTCAGGATACCGAGATTGAAATTTGAAACTGAAATTTACGAAACTAGTTTAACTAGTTTGCGTTCCGTCGCGTCGTTCCGGATTGACCTGATCGAATTCTTGCGAAGCACACTCGCAGCATTGGATCGAGTCTGGAAATTCTTTCGGATATTCAAAAAAATTTCATCCCTCGTCGTTGGACGATAAATAAACAACTAATCGAAGATAAGAAATTGACAAATAATTTCACAACAATAATATTAGATTATGTTCTCGCACGAGGCAAAGAGAATTAACTCTTCTATCGTGTTCTACTTGTGAAATTAGGTGATTTTACGATTAAGAGTATTAAGCAAAATAATCTTACCATAAAGTGGACCAATCACGACCATAACAATGACCATAAGCACCAGCACCCTTTTCTGTCGGTTGTTCCTACCCTGCTTGAAAGCAACGCGAAAAGTCTCTTCGATGTGTTTAAATGCAAAGAAGTCCAAGATCGACGCGCACACGGACATCTTCTTCTCCTGCGTCTTTTCCGGCTTCTGCTTCAAATGTGGTCTAGGCGGCTCTTTGATCACCACTAACCCGTAAATAAAGCTCAGCACGTAGCACACGGTCGAGATGCTGAATACACCGTAGAATCCAAGTTTCAAGTACAATATACCGGAGAGTGCCATTCCGATCGGCACGCCGAGCGACAAGAAAACATTCGCAGCACCGATTCGAAGCGTCCTGGACTCGACGGTCGTGATGTCCGCGATATAACTGAAAACACCCATGAACATGGTGAACCAGCCTCCAGTCAACGCTGGCCAAAGTGCCTCGAACACGCCCGTGGCTTCCATGGGAACTTCGTGAAAGAAGTATGTGCACAGTAACATGCTGACGCTGCTCAGAAATTCACCAACGATAGGCAACAGCATACACGGTTTCCTCAATCCTGTACGATCGCTCCAAGCACCCATAAAGAGGATCAGGATCGTGGGTAGACCGCTGGTCAGAGCTGTTTTCCACGTCTGCATGCCAGCTACCAGTTGTTGAACGGCAGTTTCTTCCGCCTCGTAGCCGGTCGTGTTCCTCTCGGCTAGTGCCGTGCAGACTTCGTCGGGATAAGCCAGGTTCACTCTACACGCTTTTTCCAAACTGAGATTCTGCGTGGCTAGGGAGGCTAGCATACAGGGAATCACGTAACAGGCGACCATAGGCTCCACGGTGATGTTGCTGGTGAAGTAGGACCATTTCTGGCGCAATGTCATGGACTTCCAGACCACTGCTTTGTCGGACACTACCTGATTCCCAGCAGCATCTCCGCGTTTCTTCTCCATCGTCGATGGATTGTTCGCGTCGGCCATTCCCTTGGACAAGGACAGGCTGTTTGTCGTGTCGGACGTATTCAAATAATCTTTGTAGCGTGTTTAGGCTCCTCGTATGGAGAACCTGATAGATGTACAATTAGGTTCTTCGTATCCAGATGTCGGGTTAACTCCTTTCCTTTTAGATCGTAGATCCTTGGTGTTGAGCCAAACTTCCAAGAATTCTCGGCGATTAGAATCATGCGGATGCGGGTGCGAAAGAGAGACGGCCACTAAAGACTGGTACTAAAATATCCAATTGTGCTCCAAGGATTATTTCGATGTGATCGATTGTTCAGATCATTTGAACAATTCTTCTCTCGTCTTCCTTTTGGTCTAACTTCCCTCGTAACGTGGACCGATTTCGGACGTCGGACTCCTCGAGATTGTATTTGTTCGTTTGATACAATACCGGTCGGTTGAATTTCAACCGGTCCGCGGGAGAGACCGTCTGACCGTCTACTCCTGGCTAATGCACCATTGTGCATTACGATACGCGTGTTACCTCTTTTCCCTTCTTCTTCCTCTCGGCCACCTCCTGCTCCATGCTGCTGTTCCTCCACCATCTCCACCATGTTCCCTCCATATTGTCCCCTCTGAAACTCTTCGACGATCCTCTCCACGTACACGGGGAGAGTACATCCGAGGGTACATCCACCTAGCTGAATATATAACATATGCAGCTGGTGACACGACGAAACGTCGTCGGTGCGAATCATTTCTGCGACGATCGACAACCACGCGCTTAACGTCCGCGCTTCCGGTTCCGCTCTTGGACGCTTTTCGGGTCAAGGTTAGCTCTCAGAGTCGATGCACGGCGGTTCCTTTCCATTTTATCGTCGCAGTTCGAGAATCTTTGAAGAGCTTACCGGGAAATATTATTACAGATGATATTAGTTTTCGTTACATTTATAGAATATATATATCTTTTTAATTTGGAAAACCGTGACTTTATGGGAAGAGTTTTGTGGATAACTTTGTGGATCGTTGAACTTTACTTAAAATATCATTTATTACTTCTCTTTCTTCTTTTCCTTGTTCTTTTTATTATTTACTGTTATATTTATTTTTATTATTTTGTTTACTGTTATATTATTATTTATCATTTCATCGATTTCTCGTTTATTTTCGTACGTTTCGCACGTTTCACTTTAGAGTCAAACGAATGTGGGTCAAGCACGGAACTCTCGTTTGTCTCGTTGAAGATCACAGTGTTTTCTCAGTTTTATTAAGATCACATTTGTCGACGTGTCAGTGTCGGTATATCGCAATAAATCGTTTCGTAAAATTCGTGTCAAAAGATTCTTAATGGTTTTCCCTTGGGCAAACAAATCATTCCTAAATCTCCTGATAGACGTCAATAACGACATAATATTTGACGAGTTATTAATGACAAACGTATTTCTTACTAATAACAAATAAAAAAAAAAACCATATTCTGAGAGAATTAATTTCATTAATAATGAACGTGATAATGAAAGGTTCCTTCATACTGTGTACGATCGATGTTTACCAAAATCCAATGAAATTGATCGCTTTATCTTAAAAATGGCGGACATTCTGCTATTCTGCTACGTGGTCGAAGATACGCGTAAACATAGCGAGAACATGGTTGAAAGCGACTTCTCTCGGTAGGCCAGCACCGAGGTGCCGTTTAAATGTAGCAATTTGTTGATAAAATAATCATAACTGACCGTCTTGTCTTCTATGGCTAGAGCCTATTTCAAGCAGGGCCGTGTGCCCACCCTTCGGAGGCCACATACAACGATAAATCAAAGATCGTGTTAAGTATATATATATTCAACGATGACGATTCGCACGCCGGACCTTTCTGGTCCCGTAATCACGTTTTGCTGGGCGACCAATTGCGACGAATTGGCAATTACATTCTTTCGCTCCCGCGTTGCCCCGATGGCCTTAAGATTTTTCTAGACCTTCCGCAGCTTTCGTCGAAATTTGGTCAGTGGCACGTCGTTTATTGATAAACGATAAGGGTTCGGACGGTTTCCTTCAGGAAATTTAAAGAAATTTCTGTGTTTCTAAATATTGACGGATTCATCTAGCCTTTTAGACGCAAAGTCCACTTCACCATTTTTCACTCAGTTCCATAAATATTCTCATCAAGTTTCATTATTGCCGATGATTTAGGATTGATTGTGTCTTAACCCTTTGCTAATGCGGTATGTATACCTCAATGAATGTTTCTAAACTTCTCTATCTATCTCTCTATCTACGATTGTGTATTTAAGTACACGGTACAAATCGGTAATTCTAATGTTGAAATATATTGGAAATATTTCACATAAAATATGGAGTTCCTATCTAACGGAGGATTTATTATTTTCTAAAATTGAGAATTCTGTCACGCGATTAATTATCTGTTTAAAGATATACGTTCATTCGTACAAAGAACGTTTCGAACTGTCGAATATGTTCGAATTTCTAAATTATCTTTGCGAGAAAAAGAAATGGAAAAGCTTCAGGTCGAAGGAGTTCAAATGTAGAACGCAAGGGATGTTGAAATTTGTGAAAATGACTCGCGTTGCAGGATTAGAGGTGTAAGTTACGGCCCTGGCTCTTAAGTTGATCGTCATGACGTCGTCAAGTGAGTAATGCTCGTAATTCGAGCAATGCTGTAAAATATTCGATCCACAGCCGTAACAGATCCGTTATTTTCGTGTTTCCCCGGCACATCCGCTGGCAATGCGTGCTTCAACTCGGAACAGACTACTGGCTCGATGATCAAGCGACGAAATCCGGTCGAAATCCGGTCATCCCGATCCCGATTTCCATCCCACGCGTTACTAACTTACTTAAACGCAAATTTTACGTATGATACTTGACGCGATGATTTTTTTTTACGAATTTGTGTCAATTATGTTTGCAAAAGACAATCGTAGACGTTAATTTCGTAGGAACTATGTCGACGATTGTTGATTAATTTTTCTTGTAGAACTCTGTGTAATTTTATAGTTTTACGCAAAACACGATTCTTTATTAAACTTTGGGACTTGATGTATTAACCAGAGATCAGCTTTTCTCGTGAAATTTTGTGCAAAGTAAGTTTGTGCGATTCCTCAAGCATAAATATATCAAAATTGACACCTTCACAAATGAGTATACAAAGTCGTCTCGCGAATGATTAATTTCAACGCCAAAGCAGTTACACTTTCTGACTTTGTCAAATTCTTGTTGTTCGAGAAAGTCGATGAGTTAGGGTGAATAATTTTAATTAATATAATTAATACATAAGCCATTTTTATCTTACCGATTATCAAATGTATTTGGCTAGCAAGAAATTTTATAAAAAGAGAATGAGCTTTAATTTATTTATCTTTCTCACTTATTTTGACGAGTGCATACAATCTTGGTTAAAATATATATAGTTACAAATAAAACGCGATAGTCGCTCAAGTAATCTTAGTTTTGTAATACTTAATGAATTACGAGCACCTCGTAGTCTTTGAAGGACAGTTCTTCACCGTCGAAGGGGATGTATAAGCATCCGTGGCTGGATTGAACCTGTAAGGAAGAATATTTTCATTGATGATCTTATTTCTTTCAAAATTCAAGAAATTTTCTTCTGTTCTCCTGCACACACACACACACACACACACACACACACAAAATATAAATTTCCTGTACGATAAAAGAAACAGCAAACTCCGACCTTGCCAATTGTTTGGGCTCCATTATGGAGAACACGGCCGACATACAGAGGTTCTCCATCGGATGTCTGTCCTGCGATCACCGCGTCGCTTGGGACTGATCCATTAGTGCAAAACTCCCATGCGAACTCACCTTGGACCAAAATCTGCAAAATATACAAATCAACTTAGTTTCATTGAGATTTTATACGAGTAAATTCCAAGCCATTAAACACGTGTCAATTTTAAATATTGCATTGGAAACGTGACAATTGAATCGCTGGATTGAACTAAAAGTCGTCACAATGGCAATTTTTGAGAACAGATGTGACCCTGACATCCCTACCCGCTAAATGATGTGAAAAATCTTTGAACAGAACGAACTTAGGCCTTATGCTTTACGTTCTTCGCGTAGTTAAATTAAAACTTAATTTCTTAGAAATCGAACGATTAACTTAACATTGTTGGCTTAACATTTGGCTTGATCATTTACATGCTTTTATATTTTTCTATGGGGCAATAAGAAGCTTCGTAAATTAATCGATTATTCAAAATAGCAAATATGGAACATTCATAAGATATTTTGCCTCATTACAACGTGAAGTTATAGAAACATATATATTTGGACGAAGAAAAACCAGATAACAGATGCAAGTAAAGAATCGTCAGCTCTAGCTTTTCAAAATCCAAGGCGATCGGTGTGATTCGAAATTAGCTAAAGGTTGATACAAATCGTATTCCAATTTCGTGCAGCGAAACGACTTCGCCTTGACACAAAATCACGATTCCGTGTTTGCGCGCGTACAGAGGTTGATCGTGGTCACACCGGATGATTAGGTTCGTTAGTGGAAAAATTTATTATTTACTGAAACCACTCAGCCGAATATCTTTTCAACGTAATCCATTCTAATCCGTTAGTTCTTGGAATAAAAAGTTAAAAATAGATAAAGGTAATGGACTTCTCGCTGATGAAAAAGATTAGATTATTGGAGCAACAAGATTATTGGAGTGACGCGGTAATTTTTTTCAATCAATCTATCGTATTTTCTTATCGTCAAAAATCTCTTTCGTTCGTTCGAGCTGGATAATTAATTATTTCTCACAGTTGTGTTATGTTATACTTAGCAAAAATTTACTTAAAAAATTCGAAGATCGATGTCCTTTTAAAGATAATCATTAAGATTTATTTTGATAATCGACGGCTGGATTGATTTGATTTTCGTTCTTCTGAACGATTCGTTATTAATGAAGATTTATTTATATATATAAAAAAAAAAAAAACCAAAAAAGAATTTTTAAAAAAAAGAATTTTTAAAAAAAAGAATGAACGATTTTGACGAAAGGACTGCGTTTTACTTACTTCAAAATCATGTTTGGGGTGTTCTTCGCCATTGTGACATACGTAGGCAACGTTTTTGTCGGGGATTACTTTTGCCGGAAGCATGTCACCCTCGTGGTAAGCTCTGCCGACATAGATAGTTGATCCATCTACATCACGACCTCCAACAATTGCGGTGGGCGGCATGCTTTGCCCTGCGCTTCGACTAAGCCACCTGTAAGCTTTGATCAAAGCAAATTTTTTTGAGTTATAAGCGATTTTTTTCTGATTAAATTTTTTTATGTCTATTGATCGTCTAATAGAAAAGATATTTGCCTGCAATGGCTGTAGAATTATTATTTTTGTAAATACTTAAATATAGTGTATTGTACTTAAGTATAGTGTATTCAGAAAAATAGGAAAAAAAAGAAAGTATGTTGCACAATACTTATATGTATATAAAACAGATGTATATAAGACATAATATGGATTGTATGCAACGTTACAGATAATCGTCCATTCTTCGATAAGACTTTTCTGGAATTCAATTTCTCGGCTGATAAGAGAAAAACAAATAAAAGATGTCTGTCGTGCCTACGTGTACGAGAGAATACTTTCTAGAATTATTTTATTCAAGGCTTAAAAATTCTGAGCGAATATTTTTATTGCTTGTTTAGAGCGAGGTAAAAGAATTAAATTTTGTAAATATCTCAATTTTTATTAGAATGAATGTACAATTGAAAAAAAATTAAAAAATTTAATGTTACGTATTTAGTAGATAGAGATTGTAAATAGAGAAAGTTTAAATTTTCTGAACGAAGAAGATGCTATTGCTATTAAAAATACGGATTGACTTGAATATAAATTTAATATAAATTGACTCGTATGAAGTTATGGTACAACTTACTTGGCATCTTTATACTCGATCGGTTGAATCGCCAAAAAAGAGTGAAACTTATCTTCTGACTGCACCTGATTAAAAGCAGTTGTAATCTTATCATATATCGTGCTCTTTCTATTCTTTAACTCTACACTTCTATTCTACACTTTACGATCCCACTGTCCACGCTGAGATGTTTTGATTGATTTGCTTTTGATTTGGCTACTCTCTCTCTTTCTCTCTCTCTTGCTGATTATAACTGATATTTAAGAAAATATTAAGCTTAAGGTATTTGAACAATATAATTTTTGATCAATAATAATTTTGAATATGTGCTTTACTGTCTGCAAAATGTTAAACCGGATGAGGCGGCTCTTCTCAGAATGTGCTCCCCGGAATATGACCGGAAATGATTAATGACTTGGAATAGTTTCTTACGAAGGAATGTTTGTTCAACGACTAAGTGATCTTTCATGAAAGTTAAAAGTCTAATTAAAAATTAAAAAATTTAATGTTACATACATAGCAAAGATAATTCTAAAATAATTCTTAATCAACTAATGAAAGATATTAAAAAACATAGATCGAAATAATTCTTTATAGATTTAAATTTATTGTTCTTTCTGTACATAATTTACAAAAAATTTATACAAATGGACAGAAAATTTATAGAATTTACACAAAACTAATTCTTATAAAAACTTATAAATTTACACAAAACTAATTCTTATAAAAACTTATAAAACATTCTTTCGTTAACACTAGATTACGACATTCGTCCATTTGCTTTATGAGTAAAATTTAAAAAATTTTTATAGTAATCTTATTCTGGCAATTTTTGCTGACTTTTATTAATAAAATAATACAAATTATTTTCTCAAATTTCTAATTTTAGAATTTTGTATACCTATCTCTAAGAGTGTCAGTTTGACGTAGAAATAGGTATATAAAAAATGCCCGTAAATCTAGAGATAAATTTCTACAGGTAAATTTTACTATGTACGGATAAATTTATAATTATATACAAGAAATGCGTAAGTTTAATATATGTACAGATTTTACTATGTTATACTATTTATACTAAGAATTTGGTCAAATCATTTTATCAAATATTTATCAAGTTAAATAAAAGTAGAAATTCTTAATATAGTATAACTTAAATTATATAGTATAACTTATAAATTAAAATGTATTCCTACACATCGGACACGTGGATTTTTGATTTATATGGAACCGCTTGTACTGAAAAAGAAAAGTGAATATTAATTTCAAAAGAGGTACTAATTGTACAAAATCATTAAATATTACAGAAAATACAATAAACTTACCAAACATGCAGCATGAAATTTCTTGCGGCATGTATCACAAGATAATTTTGGTATTTGATATGTCGTGTAAAAAATACTATACATATGCAACATTCTTCCACACCAGCGAATTTTTTATCCAACTTTTTTTTCCATGATACAAGTCCATCATGTATTGATTTATCCTATAAAAAGGGAATAAAATATTCCCTTAATTATTTAATCCAAATATATAATTTAATTGATAAATTATAGTTTATATAGTTTTTAATTATTACCTGATGTGTTGGAAATACAGACAACTGGATGTGACAATTCCTCAAATTCGCTCCATCTACGCTCAACAGTAGCTGGTTTTAACAGATGATTAAGTGACAATATAATATTGTTGCAATTTTGTATTATCTATTTGATACGAGGCTGTCATTTCACGGAATGAGTGTACTTTCACTTGTATATTTTCAATGTCGTGTGATTTATTCTTAAGAAGTTCCTCTTGACAAAGCATAGGGCTAATGTAATGAGCTGTAATCTTGTCTATTGTAACAATAACTTTATTCTGTCAGCAGTGTTCCACTATTGTCTTACCAACACTATATCTTAAACTGTTTGTGTATATCCAACACACAATATGGTCTAATCTCGATTCTGTCCAATGTAAAATATCATAAATAGATAAATATTAAAAACAAAGTTATATGTAACAAATTCATACCGCCAAAGTTTAGAGATGGTTCAGTAGAAAATACTTCTAGTGATTTAACACCCTTGTTTATACTATCCTGAGTAATTACAGTGGCATAAGTCGGAATATGTTATTTAATAAATTGGTAAATGTTGGTAAATAAATAGAAACGTTGTCTCTGAAATAGATATGTATAAGCTTTAAATATTGAAATTTTAGTATTAACATAAAGAAATTTCAGTCGAAGTTTCACTTTAATTGAAAAGAAATAAAGAAGTATTTACTTGAGTATTTCAGCATATATATGTAGCAAATCTTCATAAGCGTTTGCACACATGTCTAAAATGATAGCCCATGATACTAGATACCCAATGGTATAAATATAAGTATCAGAATGTGGTGGAAAAGTTACAGTATCGTATAATCTGCAAAGATGTTACGAATTAAAAATTCATTTTCCGCGAATAAAAAATTAGCATAATAGTAGTGAATAAAAGTAGTATAAGAATAGTATAATAGTATAATAATAGTATAATAATACATATAATAAGAAAATAGCTGAAAATTTACTTAAACTTCATTAGAATGGCATTCATGGCACTCTGAAGTACTTCCTCCAGTTTTTTAATGTTCATAGTACTTATATTGAAATTCTTTAATTCTATTGTATTCTTGTCTTGTTCCACAAGCTTTGGTACTACGTGTTTCAATATATGATACGCGCCTAACTGTATACTAGATATAGAAGATTGGAGGAATTTTAATGCTAATTCAACTATTGTTATAAAAGATTTATGATTTTTTAAAATTATATTTCCATTTATCAACCATCATAGTCTTCCAGATTTCCATATCAACCATTTTCATAGTCTTTCCTAAATAATCTAATAATATAATAATTTCCAAAGTTGTCGTTTTTTATATATCTAAATTGTATAAATTATATATCTAAATTATATATCTAATTATATCTCTAAAATTATATAATTATATCTTAAAAAATTATATTTCTAAAATTATATAATTATATCTTAAAAAATATCTTATTTCTATATCTTATTTCTAAAATTATATAATTATATCTCTAAAATTATATAATTATATCTTAAAAAATTATATCTTAAAATTATATATCTAAATTGTATAAATCTGTGACATAAAATTTGGTTAAAAATTGCAGGTAAACAATCAATGATTTAAATTATATATCTAAATTATAAATTATAAACATACCTGCACAAAGGATCCAAAATTCCATTTTGAATATCACTGATAAAAATATTCTTCCATTCAATCAATATTTTTGGTGATATTATTGCTATTTTTTTATGATCATGTTTGTCAATTAAATTTTGAACCGCATGATATAATTGACACATGCGCTACCATCAGTGTAAATGCCTACAAAAGTAAAACAAATTTATAACAAATTAACAACAATTAATAAATTTTTGTGATGATACAAATTATGATACAAATAATGTAAATAATTAATTACATACCTTAAAATCAGTTTTGACATTCTAATAGAATGTCACCGCAGGACTAAAGAAGTCAGAATAAAATTCCAGTTTTCATATGTCAACTTACATGGAATTTTCTTGACGATTTCTGTTGATAATCTTATACATTCTAAATTTAAAGTATCCGAAAAAATTTGAGAAACATCACTATAAGAAAAAACATACAAACATTGTATTTTTGATATATAAAATTTAGTATGTTATTACATTATATTTTGTATAAGAAATAAAATATTACCAATCTAATAGTGAAAGATGTTTCTCCAAAATATCGGAATACTTTGAAATATTTTCTTGTTCGATCAGCATGTTTCTTACTATTATTAATTCAGAAATATTATTATTATCTATTTATATCCATTTATTCAAAATGTTATCCCAATTTTAAAATTTGTGTAGAATCTAAAATAAAATTTTAGCACTAATTTAGATCAATTAATACAATTTTAGATATTTTTCAATAATAAATAATATCATACATGAGTTGAGTTTGTCTCAACAAATATCATGAAGAATATATGATTCCACTTCATTTGACCTTAAAATTTCCATCACTCAACTTGCAAAAACATAATGTGTCCCTTTATACTAAATTTGTAAAAATATTCCTTTAGTTATATTTACATATTTGTCTGTATATTTATACTTATTTTAGGCGTGACTTCACTTTGTTACAAGGAATATTTTGTTAGCTTCTGTGTATTTTTTGTCTATATAAAATGAAAAAAATCACATGGTTCATCAATCATGATGTCGTGAAATAGTGTTATTAATTTTCGCAAATTGTATAATGGAACAAAAAAGAACGAATTGTGACGCATCCATATTTGCATTTCCGTTTCAATAACATTATATGAGCTGAAAAAAGTTTCGCGTGATAATAGAAGAGTAAAAGGTAGTTCTTTCTTATCGACGCATTATAGTACATGTTCGTTTGTGAACATTTCGATCAATAGGCATTTCTATATCTAAGCTTGCATTGGATCTATCCGAAACAACCAATCAGATTTGCATTTCTTTCGCGGGATTTCTTTTCAGCTTCTAATAAGACTACATTGGTAACAGCTGATTCAATGCTTGCATGATATTTGAACATATTCTTTTTTCCGGTGTAGATATTCCCGTTCAATTAAAAGTTGAAATTGTGTGTAGTTTTTATTTATTTATATATCTTGACAGTATTATTTTGAAGAATAGTATGTATAAAAATCTTATTAGGCCTTTTAAACAAAAGTGTAACAAAACTCGATGATATATTGTACAAAACTAGTATTATATCAAGTATTAAATTAGGAAGGCTTTATTTTATATTGTACCAAGTAAGCAGTTTTTAAATGTACTTAAAATGTTCTTAAATTTTCTTTGTACAAATACACTTCAATTTTCTATTACAGGTTAGGAAGATAAAGATGAGTGTTGGAAACAAATTGAGTCAGAGGTTGTTATTGTCATATTGTTCATTTACTTGCATTTATTTTCCTGGCATTTTGATTCTGCTTAAGCTAAATGATAACTTGTATAATGTGGGAAAATATAAATTCATTCCAGTACTATTGATTCTGCTTTTTGCGGAAGTGATTAAATTGATGTTTCCTATGTTTCACTCTGAATCAACGCTTATAACAAAAACTGAATTAAGAACATCTTCAAGATATAAAAGGACTTGGTCTAGATATCTGAAAGAAATTTTCAAATTTTTGTTAGCTGTTTTTCTTTTGTCCGTCGTATATTACATTGTAATTATACTGTTTGGTGCACCAATATTTATGCGCCATGAAGAAACTACTATGCTCACTGCCACTTTGACTACACTCACGTTTATTCCTGCAAGTTTACATTTAGGAGTAGATGGTGCGTTAGAAATAATAACAGGAGGGCAATCACAGAAAGGAAATGTTTTAATTGATGCTTTAAAGATAAATATTCAGGTTACTCTTTTAGGTACATGGTTAGGTGCTATTGTGATTCCATTAGACTGGGATCGACCATGGCAAACTTGGCCAATTCCATGTGTTTTAGGAGCTCTTCTTGGCTATACAGTTGCACATTTTATTACTCTTGTAAAAACACTACCTATGTTAAGATTAGGTAAAAAAGTTTATAGATAAATATCAATGATTATGCAAATAGGTGAAATTGAACATTATAAGTTTCAATAGACAAATTTTGTACAAATGTATAAAATGTTTGTAACAAAGTGATCTCTTTTGTACTAGCATAGTTTTGAAACAAATAATTCTTGTTATCCTAGTCTCACTGAGAAGTGACTTCACATAATTTAATATTTTGTACAATGCAATACGAAAAATAAACATGTTAAGAAATAAATGTATAAATTTATGTACAAGTTGCAGAAAACAATTAAATAGAATAAAAATTTTTCTGTACAAAATAAGTTTTATCTTTGATAGATGTCATGTTAGGTCAAATTACATGAAACTTCTGATGTAATAACATGATAATGCTTGAAATCAAAGTGTCAGATTAAAATTTTGTTTGTTCTAATAAAAGTTATAAATTTTTTTATTGGAACACTGTGATCAATAAATTATGTAAGTATAAATTTTATTAAATATTATTTTTAAAATATGCCAATACTTCATCTAATTTTGCTTTTGTATTTAAAAATTACAAAAATCAAATATTAATTGACAAATATTAATTGTTGACATTAACATATTTAATAAAATAAAGTTATTACAGTTTAATCATTGAGATTTATTTAAGTTATATTAAAAAATTATTACATTTAATACATTTAGAAATCATGCATTCAAGTTTTATATAAATACAGATCTTTATAAGATTTTAGAGTAAAGCACCAGATGTCAGTAGTATTAAAATAGCAACGTGCAAACCATGGCCTTGAATTCATTTTATCGTTGAATATGTCTCGATATCAGTGTGATTAATATTCTTCACAGTGCTGTTCATTCAACTTATGCTCTTCTCTACGCCATTAATTAATAATTATATTAATAATGTCGAGTACCACTGGAAAGGTATTGATTTTTTCATTATATATTGTTTTGTTTCATTGTTGTGATTAAAGTAACTATAATTGTAACTAACTTATTTGCTACAATAAGCTGGTTATATTGAAGCAATCTTTAATTAATTAAAAAAAACTACATTAAGAAAATGTAGCTTTTTATACGTAATTTTGATAATTAGTTTTTTTGTTTAAGTTAAAGATAAAAATTATAATATAGAATCAAACAAATGATAAATTGAAATAATTTTGCATGTTAGGTAATCAAATGTAAAGCTGCTGTAGCATGGAAGGAAAAACAGCCTCTCTCACTGGAAGAAATTGAAGTTGCACCTCCGAAAGCTCATGAAGTTAGAGTAAAAGTTGTAGCTGTGGCTTTGTGCCACACTGATGCTTATACTTTGGATGGCTTAGACCCAGAAGGAATTTTTCCTTGTATTCTTGGTCATGAAGGCAGTGGTATTGTTGAAAGTGTTGGGGAAGGAGTTACAGAATTTAAACCTGGTATTATATTTTATTACATTCTATTACATTCTCTGTTATTGCATATTTAATTTTACATATAAATTGCAGGTGATCATGTGATTCCATTATATATTCCCCAATGCAGAGAATGTAAATTCTGCAAACATCCAAGTACAAATTTATGTGGCAAGATTCGTGCTACACAAGGCAAAGGTGTAATGCCTGATGGTACTTCTAGATTTACTTGCAAAGGTCAAACCATTGCTCATTTCATGGGTTGCTCTACTTTCTCTGAATATACTGTAGTGGCAGACATTTCTCTTGCTAAGGTACTTTTAATTTTCGTAAATATTTCATGTTGTTGCCAAACACCATCTGAAAACATTATATAATTCAGGTTGATCCTGTTGCACCACTTGATAAAGTATGTTTGCTGGCTTGTGGAGTATCTACTGGATATGGTGCTGCTCTAAACACTGCTAATGTAACGCCTGGAAGTTCATGTGCTATATGGGGATTGGGTGCAGTTGGATTGGCAGTTGCATTTGGTTGTAAGCAAGCTGGTGCCAAGCGTATTATTGGAATAGATCTGAATTCAAGCAAATTCGAACTAGGTAAGATAAAAGAATTTCACGGAAAATGTTGGTAGATAATAAAAACAATTTATTTTTTCAAGCTAAAAAGTTTGGATGTACTGAGTTTGTTAATCCTAAGGATCATAACAAACCGATTCAGGAAGTGCTGGTAGAATTAACTGACGGTGGATTAGATTTTACTTTTGAATGTGTTGGTAATGTAAACGCTATGGTAAGTTTTAAATGTTGAATCAAAATTTGTAATAAATTACTGGATATCTTTTTTTATTGACTTCATTTATAAAAGAGTAATATCTGTTATATTTAGAGAGCTGCATTGGAGTCTTGTCATAAAGGTTGGGGTACATCCGTTATAGTGGGTGTAGCTGCAGCTGGTCAAGAAATCAGCACTCGCCCATTCCAATTGGTAACGGGACGCGTATGGAAAGGAACTGCGTTTGGTGGATGGAAATCCAAAGATAGTGTTCCTCAATTGGTACAAGATTACATGGCAAAGAAGTTAATTCTCGATGAATTTATTACACATACTCTTCCGTTTGAAAAGATTAACGAGGGATTCGATTTGTTGCACTCAGGCAACTGGTGAGTTGTCAATAATTTTTGTTTAAAAAGTTGTTTCAAATATATTTTTCTAATATAAATTTTATTTAATTGCAGCTTAAGAGCAGTGCTCAAATACTAAAAAAGAAATTTTTACTGGATTTTGTATCGTTTATATTTTACCTATGGCCTGGATGCATCTAATGTTTTGTAATGCTCTTTACAAATAAAGTTAATATATTTCTTTATGAACATAGTTTTTTATACTTGCAATTAATTAGGTTGAAAGTAGCTGACACCTCCAGATTTCTACAACAATCTTTATTCATAAAGAATTCTTACAGCCACATGTACAATACCAATTTGGTGAAATATTAATAGTAGCTCTGGAATGAAGTAAAAATTCTTTACGCTTTGACCAGGTGCATACCTTACAAAATCATCACGGTACGAAGATCATAGACGATGATTTTTCATTGTATATAATTATGTATATACAATACGCAAGACTTTTGGTAAAACTATGTATGTTTGCTTGAAGTTAATATGCTTGTTAATCTAGGACGACGGTATAATAATAATTCAGGCGGAATATAAATTGCGCTCAACGTAGCAAAGAGTATACACGTTAATTGATTAATTCATCGCGGACGAGGTTCCCGTACACCAAATGTTTAATGGCACGGAGAGTTTCTACGAATTCTTATTTTATGTTACTTTAAATGTTTCAAAGTGATGCGGCACCTATTACGTTATTCGTTAAAATGCAAAAACTTTACTCTCTGTCAGTTTACATAGAATGATAAAACATACAATTTATTTTCGGTGTGAGTATATTATAATGACTTATCTACTTGACATACCATTGATCAAGTGTTTGGGAAAAAAATAGAGAGATTTGATAAAAATGTAAGTACTGAAATTCATAGAGTACATGTAACTCTAATCAATAATATATCAGACAGCTAAATGATTTGAATTTCAATGAGTATAGTGAAATAAAATGTATTTCTAATTTGAAAATTAATCTCCATGTTTGTTCTAGATGAGAGATAGGTATAATTTGCACTGGCTATTCCTACGTAAATTGCCTTCTAATACTAGGGCATATTCACATAGTCACACCGATCAGTTTTTCTACGGATTACATGTTATACTCTAGTACCTACGGTGTACCACACACTCGTTAAGTAAAAGTCAAGTAAAAATACTTATAATTACAATAAACGCAGACGAATCACGACGTATTCGTTGAACATTATAAAAATGTTCTTCATCCTTGATTGTTGTATTATAAATTATATAAAATTACTACAGATAAAGAAGAAATATTTCTTAGCGGAGAACCAAGTACATGTGTTTATTGATACAAGAAAAAGTCAAATGTTAATTACAATTCATGAAAATAACGATTGGAAAAATTTTCTCGTCGTGATTGAACTACGATTCAGTAGTTAGCGAGTATGAAATAGGTCATTCTTTTTTATGCAGTATATCTTACACTAAACCTCGCAACGCAAGATGGCTACGAGAGAAAAGAAAATTAAAAAAGATAAGGATAGAAGTGGTGAAAGAGGACTAATCGTTTAGCGTGAAGAAAATAAATAAGCACGGTGACGGAAATTTATATTAGCTTTCTTTCTCTGTGTTAAGAATCAGCGAAGGTGCTTTATATACGAGAGAGCTCAATTAAATTTATAACTCGTGACTCAGTTTATGCAAATACTTTTTCTGTTTAGTATCCTACATCTTCAAGCATGTGTATCTTTCTAAGAGTGTCTTAGACGCATCTTTTGCATTTGCTGACGATCAGCCAGATTTTCTCTCTCAGCCAGCTTGTCTTCGTCCGCTGTATTATCGTAAGTCATAGACAGTATTATACATATATATATGTATAGATATAAACATATCTGTATATATTTATATTTATATATATATATATACACATTATGCTTAGACGTTATAAATTGAGATATTGTTAATCTAACGTGGTTAGAAATCATAATTACATAGAGTAATTTTTATCTTTTTTTTTTCTTTTTTATTTTTTATATCTCTTCTTGTTAAAGGTATCATAATCTCTATACGTCGTGGAGTGGACATGTGAATTTTACCCGATGAAGAATGAGCTTCTTTCTTTCCGCTTTTTCCTTTCTTATTTCTTTTACTCTCTCTCTCTCTGTCTTTCTCTTTTTCTTTTTTCTCGCGAAACTTCTAGTTTGTATATGCATAAATAGTATATAATTATATTATTTATAGACGAGTTGTGCATGGAGGTACCTCGACGGGTACACAGGGTACAACGTGTCTGATCAAGGATCATTGGTTAGATCCTTTCGGTTAGATCCGTCGCGTCCCCTGCCATGGTCTTTGATCAAAATAGAGCATCACACGAGATTGCCATTGCACGATGTAGCCCCTTGGTTATTGCACTGTACAAGCTTCCTACGATTCTCTGATTCAGCAGCTTCTTAACCCGTTTGGCACTTGTGTTCTCGAACAGATCAATTTACGTTAATCACGAAAGAACGTGAAACAGCGAAAGGAAAAGGAAAAGTAAAGCCAAAAAAACAGAGAACTAAGACCTTCGTCTGAAATATCCATATTTCAATTCAATCTACAAATTCAATGAACGAAGAATGTCACGAGAAATTAATCGTTGAAAGATGATCATTCCCGGGTTAAGGATCATGACCAATCGATAAAGAGGACGCAATCGAATTCGTGCAATCACGATGCCAGAGGGTGTGTATCCGCTGCTCGTGTCACATCTCGTCAATCATCTCGTACTTGTTCGTTGCTTTCCTGACTTCTTTGTTTTAGGCTCACGCGTGGGTCGCAGCCTTCGCCGACCTGTCTCTCATTTGAAGACACCTCCAATCACAACGGCGATACTCGAACCAGCGGACGACTAGGACAAGCATTCTTCGTTCCCCTTCACAAAGGGAACACCGTCGTCCGGCTGTTCGATATCACGTTCAAGGTGCTGCTCCCGTTGCTGCTGTTACTGGCTGATATTAAGGAGTCTAGAAGTCTAACGGCTGATCGGCGGAACCCTCGAGATCCTGAGCAGAATCTGTACCGCCGTCCTCGTCGTCGTCCAGGTCCACGCTGTTTGTCTTTAATCCTCCGCTGCTAATCTTGTTCACGATCGTGTCTGAAATGTCAACGAGTCGAATAATAATCATCATCGACAGAGCATGCTCTCTTGGCAATCGAAACACACTTACCGCAATCTGGCTTGTTGCCACGTGTTCTAGTTCCGGCGAATTCAACGCCATGGGGATCTACACACCAGCAGAGTCCCAGGCCACGGTGACACTGGGTGCTTCGGTAATACCCTCGGGAATCGCATGCAGGTGCAACGTCAGGGGATGATCGTTTACGTACAGCGGCGCATGGACGCTCAGCTTTTGAGAAACATCCGCACCATTCGGGACCATTTACGAAGATGTCTCTGGAAATTGTTGAATGTAGTTTGTCTTTAGTAGTGTGGAATTATTTCTAGTGGTAAAATAGCAAACACATATCTTTTGATTGGAAAGGGATTTTTATCGATTTTAACTCTGGAACTGCGATGATTAAATTTGCTTTCGCGTAGTAGTTTCGATTTTTAAGCAAGAGATTGTAAAAATACAATCATCGTTTTCTATCTTAGTCATTCTTATATCACTCATGAAAGTTATAGGAAATTGTAGAAACTAATACGTCGCGTATTGAAAACTATGTAATTATAAAACGATTGATGGTAATCGCGAGAGTCATAAATAAAAAACATGAAAATGAAGAACATTGTAAAGCTATACAATGAGTATTACAAGATTAAATTTTATTACTCAGACATCTCTTCCTCTTTCAAATAAATTATTTTACTTGTATCTTAAAGCCGAGAGTTAACTAATCAAGCAAATTTGATCTTCATTTCCGCTAATATGTTTCCTCTATTCAGTAATTAGATCCTCAACGCTTTTGATCTGCAACATTTGATTCGCATCATAGATACCAAAGGAATGCATCGCATTTACAGTATTACATCAAGAAGTTACTACGAATTAACTGTATGAAACGACCGACATCCCAGGTAACAGAGTTCACTGTCCCAGAATGGCGGGAGAAACCTTCCATGGAGGTTGCGTAACAACCCCTTAATATATATCTCGACTTAATCTCTACGCTCCGAGAACGGAAATTCCACTTCTTGAGGGTGTAACAAATGCAACGAGGTATCGTTCCTTATTTCCCCGGTATGCATACGGAGCAAAAAGCAATTGACTCGGGACGAAAGTTTCACACACGATCCCATGTGCCAGGCTCTTAACGACCAGTCCACTCCGCTTCGGAGGCACGTACGCTCGAGACCTATTACGCTCGAGCGTCAAGCCCCTCGAAGGTATTAAAAACTGAAAGGGTTTCTCTATCTTCTTCCTCGTTTCTCCTCTCGCTCTCTTTTCAGGTCACGTATTCGCGGAGTTTAATGATTTATAAGCAACGGACGAGGCTTTTATTACATAAAAGAAAAGGAGCAAGAAAAAGAAGAAAAAAGAAGAAAAAAAA